TTCGACCCGTTTTCGCAAAGAATAATGGGAAGGGTGGTAAGTTAACAAATCAAGGTGTCAATTTTCTAGTGGGCCACCAACTTTTTAATGGAGGTGAATACTGGTTTAAGAAAACTATTTCTGGATGAATTTCTTTGAGCTATGACTTCTTTATCCTCTTTGTAATGCAGACTGAGCTCTGTGTAATTATCTATTATGTTTAAGTTTACTCATGGTAATGCTCTGGGATTTGGTGTCCAGGGCTGCTGGGCCTTCTTAAAGGTTGTTTTGTGTTTTTCTGTATTTTTCTTTTTGTGTTTGAATGTTTTGTATGTCTGTTTTACATTAATGGTTGAATCTAGCAATCTTTACAATCATGAATTCGATGTATACGTAACAAGTGACAGGAACATTATTTGCTATTCATTCCAGACTGGATGAATGAAAGGGTATACAAATCATTCATTTGAATATCAGGAGTCTATTGCCTAAAATTGATTTACTTCGGATATGGGTTGTTCTACATAAACCTAAAATCATCACACTCTCTGAAACTTGACCAGGTGAACTACAAATCACATATTATTGCTTTACAGATCTGATAGATGCAGCAGGGGTGGAGGTGTGGCTATTTATGTCTCCTCTGACCTTGTGACTGAGCTAATTGCTACTTCTATAGAGCCTCTACATTTTGAATGCATTTTTCTTAAAATAATTTTTCATGAAAATAAATGCTTAACTATTGGTAGCATCTATAGGCCACCTTCTTCACCTGCAGAGTCTTTTAACCATATCATTGACACTATCAACTCCATTTCCTGCGGAAATGAAATAATCTTGCTTGGTGATTTCAACAAAAATTGGTTGGATAAATCATCTGATAGAGAGAAAATACTTTTCTAAATGTTAAACAGCTAATTAATGAGCCAACTCGTATCACTCTTAGAACCCAATCTCTGCTTGACTGGATACTGGTGTCACACCCTGACAGAATCTTAAAAGCTGGTGTCATGTCGGATTGCTTCAGCGATCATTCAATTGTTTATTATATAAATTATATTATATTATATATATATTTATATGGAAAATCAAATTAATTAAACTACCTCCAAAACTAGTCAAAATCAGACAATATAAAAAATTGAATGTTGATTTATTTATTAATGATGTTGTTGCCCTTAAATGGGACAGATTTCAACTAATACCTTTTGTACAAGATGCTTGGGATTTTCTGCATAAAGAGCTCACTGATGTCATGAACAAACATGCAGCTGTGAGAACGGTTAAGGTCAAAGGTCAACATCTCCCTTGGATCAATTCTGAACTCATCAGTCTCTTTAGGGAAAGGGATAAAGCATGGTCGATATATCGTCATTCAAGAACTATAGCCGATTGGGAAGTATACAGGCATCTTTGAAATCTGAGTAAAACCAAAACAAGAAATGCTAAATCGAACTACTATAAAGAATCTCTCACATCGGACTTTAAGAATCCCAAGCAATTTGGGACTAAAATTAAATCTATTTTAAATAAATCAGGTAAACATTTTATTAATACAATAAGAACTGCTGATTCAATAATTCATGACCCATTATCCATTGCCCAAATATTTAATCAACATTTCGCTAATGTATGTTCCACACTACTATCTGACTCCTATTTGTCGACTGGCATTTCTAATAGTAACTCATACTGCAACAGTTATTTTTCTTTTAAGAAGATTCTACCACACGAAGTTCATAATGCTATCACAGAATTAAAAGTGGATGGCAGTGCAGGACTCGATGGTATAGAAAACAGGTTCATAAAATGAATGTCACATATTCTCATGTACCCACTTGCTGATTTGTTCAACCTGTCTTTGTCCACCTGTGAGTTGCCGACTATTTGAAAATGTGCACACATCATTCCACTCATAAAGGTGGTGATTTACTTGATACAAATAATTATAGACCAATTTCTATAATCTGTTCTATTTCCAAAGTTTTGGAGAAAATAATTTATAATCAACTGTCACATTATCTCAATACTTATAATATTTTATCTCCGGTTCAATCTGGCTTCAGGCCTAATCACTCCACAACAACTGCCCTACTTACATTTTCGAATGACTTGTACTCTGCTGCAGATGATGGTGAACTCACAGGTGCCATTTTTATTGACTTGACAAAAGCCTTTGATTTCGTTGATCGATATCTGCTCTTGGATAAACTTCACGGCATTGGCCTTTCTAATAATACAGTGTTATGGTTTAACTCGTACCTTCACAGTAGAAAGCAATGTGTGGTTATTAATGGCAAACAGTCTGACCTGTTGATCCAACAAAAGGGTGTACCCCAAGGATCAACTCTGGGCCCACTTCTGTTCTTTATTTACATAAATGATTTGTCTTCTTGTCTCATTAATTGTTGTACTCACCTTTATGCTGATGACACTGTCATATATACATCCAAATTAGATTTTTCACAAATTCAGATCTCTCTTCAATCGGAATTTAATATCTTACAGGACTGGCTATCACACAATAAACTACTGCTTAACAAAACAACATCTTATACCATGGTCTTTGGTACCAGGCAGAAGCTCAAATCTAAACCTAATGTAGTAATAAAATGTAAGGATGGCACTTGTCTGCATAAAGTTGATAGCTTTAAATATCTTGGTGTATGGCTAGACTCTGAACTTTCATTTAAACTACATATAAAGCATGTAATACAAAAAGTCAATTACGGAATCAGTGTTTTACACCGCTCTCGCAATTGTTTTACGCTCAGTGTCCGAAAGAGAATTGCTTCTCAACTTATTCTTCCGATTATGGACTATTGTGATGTTGTCTACCAAAATGCACATAAATCAGATCTTGCTCCACTCAACATAGCCTACAACAGACTATGCAGATTGTTCTTGTTGTCCTCTTCGTACACATCACTGCACGATGTGTAACCAACTTAAATGGCCTTCTTAAATGTAAGAAGACACATGCATTGGCTTCAGCTGATATTTAAATGCATTTATCTTAACTATCCCCCTTATTTAAAGCAATATTTTGTACCCTACTCGCCAATTCATCAAGTTAGACATTCTGTTCAGATTTATTTCTCTGTCCCCTCTGCAAAAAAAATGGATTGGCAGAAGAGCGTTCATGTTTAAAGCCCCAACTGACTGGAATACTTTACCTGCTGCTATTAGATCTCTTGCATCATTGGGTATATTTAAACATGCATTGTTATCTCACTTTCAACTGGTCTGTACTTATTATTAACTGATATTGATTAAACTGATTTGCTTGACTGTCTCAAATTGTAATGATTGTGTGCATTGCTTGAATTTCACTTAACAGACTGTATGTGGTTTGTCTTGTGTGTCATGTTTTGCATTTTGTCTTTTTGTTTATGTATGTCTGTAAGTTGTTGCTGTTGTCGGGACCCCCTTGAAAACGAGATGGTGCATCTCAAGGGGTTTATCCCAATGAATACAATTTATATATTGGGAATATTCTAGAAACAGATTATATTCAGAGTTAAGTAACATACTGCCATGTTTCCATGTCCTCAAACACTCATAGGAAAAATTGCTAACCTTTAGGTTGTGCATGTGACTCAGAGCTCTGACTCACTCTCATCTACTCAAATGACATCTCCAACTCAAATCTCCTTTGTGCTTTGGCAGACATCAATCTTAAAAGCCCCTCAAGTGTCCGACTTCTCTTTACATTCAGGGCATTCTAAATGGAAACCACAATGATAACTTATGTGATCATAGTATAGTGTTCTGCTCCCACACATGATATAAGTGGTGAGTCACTCATGGACTGTTTTTTTCTTGGATTAAAAGTGAGCTGTACAGTAAATCTTGAGTCTTACTAAGTGGAGTGTTATTGTGGGAATTCAGGTATGACAGATCTACATGGTAAATGACAACTTTACATCATTAGGGAAACATTCCATGTAAAACCTACCCATTTCACCACAAACCATGAAGTTACCTCACTAACCAACTCTCAGCAGCTACAGCTCACTCCTGCATCAGAGTCTGCTCAGTTCCTGTTTAAAGTTAAAGTATCTCCTTTCCTAGGAATTGTTGACAAATGCAACAAAGAAGGTGAAATGTAATAATGAGGCTGGCCTGCAATAGCACTGTTGCTTACCCCTGCACTAGAATGACTAACATTAAGATATGTATGTCTCATTATTAAATGTTAAAAAATTAAACTGCTCTGTTAAGCTCTAACTGGTCAGTACATTTACAATTATTGATTAACATGTTCAGGACACCTACCTGTATGTTAGGATAAAACTAAAGAGGTAAATCACATAGTTGTGATGTACCTACAAAATAATAAATAAATAATCTTTTAAAAAGAAAAGTGAGCTTAAAGTCACTTTAAAAAAGGTGATATTTACCTACACTTGTATACAGTCAGCTGCACGTTAACCAGATACATTTAGCTAAAGCTGAAGTAGTGTTTTACAACAGTCCTGAAATAAATCCTTCATCCATGAGGGTTATAATGCAGTTACTATTGTGGGAACTGGTCAATAGAAGTGTTGGTTAAACATAATGATAATACAGGAGGCTGTAGTTTGTGGTGCAATACCTATGTGTATAAAATAATACAATCACCAGACATTATCCTCTAAAATTATCATACAGTTGAATAAACGCCCCTCATTATAACATTGAATCTGTTGTATTAGGCTGCATTAGTTTTAGCTAGCTATATCTATACACACACATTACTAGCTATAAGGGGCCATATAAGGCTACACACTTACTAACGGATGCTCATGTTACCTCCCTTTCCACGTTGCAGTGTGCCTTTACCTGCAGTTTCCTGTCACACCACATGATGGCAGCATATGAACAGCAAACATCCCACCTATTACCTCAATCTGAAACTGTGACCCATTGGACCTCCCTCTTACCATAGCAAAGGTAATCGGGCAAAATGTTCTGCCTCAAGTACGACCAAGACCTCAGAATAAAGTGCATATAAAGAAAACAAGCTGGGATAATACCGGGTCGATACTGACAAGTGTTTTATTAGTAACACAGACCTGGAGACAGAGCCAATAAGAAGCCAGTGTGAGCCTTGACAGGACTTACATTGTTCAGAAGGCATTTTAAAGACGGAGGAGGGTCTAGTAGTTGAACCCATACAGTTATCGGAGCGGGTAGAAACTGATAGAGGAAGGCTGTAAATCTGAATCAAATACAAAACCAACTGCAACAAAAAATAGAAAGGGAAAAAAAAAAATTAAGTGCAATTCCTATTCGGTGAAATCAGGATGGCATCAGATGGCGAAGGGGAGAGCGAAATGTCATGGTATGCAGAAGTCATATTATCACATATTATAATAGAGAAACAATCAGACATGGAAAGGCGGCACGGCAGTCCACGTATCGTTACAAGCCATTCTTTTATTCAGTCACTGAGTCCTGTGAGGAGCTTCGAGGAAAGACTGATGGTTATGGCTGAGAAAAACAAAAATCTCAGGGTTCGCTCGGCTATTTGTCCAGAAAAAAATGCCTGTGTGATGGTGTGTTGCAAGCAGAAGTCCACGAATGATACCGTCGAAGTTGATCCATTCAGGAAAATAAAACGTACCTCAGGAATCAATGAATTACCGTGGATCTAAAAGAAGGGCGGTTTCTATTTCCCCTGCTCAGCTGCCCTGAGAGGTTAAGACAGCTAAACGATGAATTGTCTGCTTAAGTGCAATGTCTGATGATGATGATGAAGAAATAATGTAGAATTGTCTTTGTTGCTTTGCTGATCCCCCCCCCCCCCCCGCCCCCCCAATTGTCAAAGGAGTTTAAAAAGGACTAACGAACTCAGCAAGCATACTCCGACTCACAAGCTCACCTCCATACGCACGCACAGTCAGTATCAGGAGCAATAAGGCAGAGAGGCTCCGTTTTTCTTTTGAGAAAAAAAAAAAAATCAAGAATCAAGAAGAAAAAAAAAAAAATACAAGCTGGCCCCTCCCCACCCTCCTCAGTAGTTCTGTGGGCTATGGTGATCCCGTACTGTTCGTCCCATGTTAGGCGGTCACCCCAGCCCTCGTCTCCTCAGGACGCGCCCGAGGGGCTCACAGGGGGCTGCTGGGCCTTCTGTGTGGGACAGGAGGGCAGGACGGAGGCCGGCAGAGAGGAAGAGGCCGGTCAACAAGCCCCGCCCCCTCTGGATTCAGCCAATCACCAGAGTCGGTGCTGATGGAGGTTTCGACTGAGGACGGAGCGCACATCAGCGGTGAACCTAGGAGTAAAAGAGAGAGGCGATTAAAATAGGAAGAGCTTCACATTAATACTTTTTGTTAGCTTTATCTATTTATAAAGAACCTTTAAAAACACATTTATAGAGTTCTACATTGGAGGAGGACTTTGTACGTTTTTTAAAGCACTAGTTTGGATAAGATTTATATTTCTTATTGGGCATAAATAAGGTTGCAACAGGCTCTTTCTGAAGTAAAAATAAAGCCTTTTTTACCACCTCTGGAGCTAACCAATACAAACGTTGTATTTCGTTTTTTAAGTCTATACATGATTAAAATAATAAGAAAATAAAACGGATTTCTCGTGCTGGTTACACTATAACTTACAAGACACTAAATCAATATGTGGAGCTGCACTGAATTACAGTCTCAGACTACAGTGCAGGTTGCCAGATAGGAGTGCTAATCAAGGTCTAACTGCATCTGATATTAACAAAACAAACTACAATAAGAGTTTTATCAACCTTCTAATCCTAATCGGAAAGAAAGCAAATATGTATATGCAAGGAACATTGTATCGTTTCCCCAAGATAACCTTTAGAGTATACTGATGTTTCAACATGATGGACAGGTAAGGTGTAGGGATGCACGATAATTATCGGCCCGATAATTATCGGTCCGATATTAGGAATTATGAAGTCATCCCGATAAACCCGATACCAGTATTAATAGCCCCGATAATATACAATATATTTTTTTGGGTAAAAAAAAATAAATAAAAAAGACTGCGGTGTGGGTGGATTGGGATGAGGGGCGCTTGTTTTTCACTCAGCTCCTCCCGTTTTGCCAGTACTGTGGTATTACTGGTTTAGGAAGAGGGGAGTTCTTCACAAATCCAGCGCTCCCTAACTCATGCCTGGCTGTGACGTAAATGGTGTGCGGCCGTGAAGCCAGGACAGTAAACAAACATGTCGTCGGTGGTATGGGCGTTGGAGCTATGTGCAACTCAAGGCATATGCTCGAACGGGAGCTGCCTGGACGCTGCAATCATGTTGCGCACTATCCGTGCTGAGTGTGCTGACTTTTCGTACAATGTCCCACTGTCTGGCTTCCTGCATAAAGTCAAGTGCTCGGCGCAGTTGTGGCGAAATGTCGCTCCTCTGTTTTCATTTAAACAGCTCCTTATATCCGTTAGCGCAGCTAGCTAGCACCAGATGCTAACAACAACAATGCACGTAAGGTCTCTCGCTCGGGCCACACATACACACACCCTCCCGGTCCTCCAGATGGCCAGTCGGTGCCTTTATATATACAGTCTATGGTCGGTGCCTGCCGGTGAGCGTGGAAGTGTGGTCTGCCACAAGCGGGCGGCAGGAGCGGGGCTGTCAGCATCAGCTTGTAGATGGTATTTTAAACTCGATGCGCTCTGAAACTACGGGGCAGCCAAGGAAAAAAAATATACATGCGTTAATCGCGTTAAAATAATTAGTGGCGTAAACATTTTTTTATTATCGGGTATCGGTCTTGAGAAGCAGGAAGTTATCGGTATCGGTTTCAAAAAACCAATATCGTGCATCCCAAGTAAGGTGTATGCCTAAAAGCTACCATGTAGATGCAAATCTAGTCAATAATCATGCCGTCAACTACAATATTATACAAGCATTTGTCAACGCCTTTTTTGAAATACTATGGTTACCTGCAGTCAACCTAAAAGGCATTAACTTGCACTACTTGAATTACCAGAGCATTTGTATACAGACAGTGTTTGCATTATGGATTTGCTTTCATGCCATGTGTTATGCCTTTTACCTTAGTGCATCCAGCATAGGCAGCAAGTTAAGAAGTGCTGTGTCACTAGGGTCGCTGAACCAGGACTTGATGGGTATTGCATTGTCTGGAGGGTGGGAAAGAAAATGGTTGTGTCAGTGAAATGGACATGGTGGTGATTTTATGCTGCTATGCTAAAGAGCTCACGGAGCTTTAGAGTGTCTGCAGATTTAATGTACTGTTACAGCATTTACAATACGAGCTTTGTACTTAGAACAAAGCCCTCAATTATGTGACCTCTTCCTGCGGCATCACAAGGTTGATGCGTTTAGGATGAAACCGTGTTGACTTTTTACACAAAAGAGAAGATCTGCCACCTTCTTTTTGGATCCACACAAATTGTGGATGGTAAATGTAATCGATTGAACCTATAAAGTCCTCAGTGCGTGCTATATTGACAGAGAAAGCTGTGTTGGCAACTGCTAAATCTGTGATTCCTGTATATAGCGCCGTCATGGATGTTACAGTGTCAAAGTCATATGAAAGGCCTACTTTGATTATTTTATTCTGCTCCTTTAGGAAGCTCTAAATCGCTACGTTTAAACACATCGTTATGCTTGATCAAATATGTATATGAGACACTTGGGCTGCATTGGCCATGTAAGAGGATATGGATGGCCAAAGCCTGGATGAAACTTGAGCGCAATGCATCCTGGTACATGTATGCCCTCCTGGCAGGGCTCCCTAAGGAGGTTAACTCTGTCAAGATAGCACACTGAGGGAATTTGTGGGTTTATCGGATTACATTGACCATCAACAGTGATTGAAACGTCCCTTTATAGATGGTTGCACACCGAATTCAGAGAGTCAATGTACGAAATACTGAATACATTTGACTATAACTTGTAGTCTTACCTGGATGGCTACGATAAGCGCCAGGCGAGTTGTCCAGGATGACAATACTGGACAGGTCATCGTGTACTACAGACAGGTCTTTAATATAACTACCTAGATCCAATGTACAATGCTGGCAAAAAGAGAGAGACAAAAACAAATGGAGAGAATAAAGACACTTTATAGGCCAATGGATCCAAAGAACTAATTAATACATGTTGTGTAAATACAGTATAGAGAGCGGTACCTGTCTGTAGTATCTGCGTTTCAGGATGTTCCTGTTGTTGTCCAGCTTGTCTGCCACTGCTGAGCCATAGATCTCCATACTGGCTGTGAAAACCACCAGCTCATACCACTGGCTCACCTGTGTACACACATAAGGCAGACAAGAGTATAAGTCAACAAGTTACAGTAAGCGCTGCGTAAGGCACGAGGGATCATTGCAAAAGCAAATAATGTTGTATAATATGAAATATGAGAGTGCAGTTCAATGGAGAGGGATGGCAGACGGGGTTAAAGGTGAGTGAGGACATGGGGAAAGACCTGGGAAATGATGTATTAAAGTCACAGTGCGCTCCCCTTCCATGTTAATACAGGATTAAAGTAACACTGAACACAGAGGGACACTCACCACTTCTAAAAAGAAGTCAACATGTGGCCTTTTATGTACAAAGAATCTGACTGGGTGCTTGTCAATGACGACCTGCATAGAGAGAGAAAGACACAGGGTTTAGTTTAGAAGGCACATGTGTTCCAACATGTACAGATGTGGCTGAAGGCTCTTACTTTGAGGATGAAGTCTGGCGGCGTGCCAGGTCTCACTGTAGGCCTGAGGACCCCGTCATGGTGAGAGTGGATCAGCGTCTCGTCCAGGTCCAGAACCAGAATCTTCCTCTTTACTGCATCTTGAGTTATTCACACAAAATAGACACTTGAGCAACTTCATCTCAGTACATTCACATGCACACAAGAAACCAGGTTACTGACACAAATGAGTTACACAGGAAACATGCAGTGTAATTATGGTTACTGTGAAATCTGCTGATAAATACTGACAGTAATCATGTGACCTCATTTAGAAACCATGACTTGCCAAGTGTTTTAGTGAAGAAATAAGAAAAGCCTTTGATATCTTTTAGAGCGCATTGAAAGGAAAGGCTCTGTAGTTCATATGTATGAGGTTCAAAGGCTGATCATCATTCTCAATATATGTTATTTGGGTCAAATGTACAAACGCAGGATGGTTTTACATTGTGCACACAGCGACACAGATTATTTCCCACTATTGTCACAGCCACACACCCAGTTTCACCACCCACCCATGACATTACATAGACCTCTACTTTTTAATATAAAAGATAAATAAATACATAGTTTCCCATGTAAATAGTTGACTCTGTATAATAGGCATACATACATAATATGTAAAGTTGCAATCTATACTCGTCCGTGTAAGAGATAGTTAACATTAAGGTGAAATGACTTCTTGAGAATTAAAGAGGGCTACCTAATGTCCTTCTTTTCAAACTTTTAGTTGGATTTAGGTCTAAAATCTAGCATTAACATGCGCCTTTTGATGCGATCACAAATGGACAGCTTTAACACCAACTCACATAAGAATGTGTATTTTTGGATACATTCTATGAACATACAAATAAAAGCTGAGGAAGTGAGGATAATAGCACGCTGGTGGGTGTCCAGTCCTGTGCAGAGCACCAACACAGACACATCACCAACAGCATGATAAGATCTGAACCACCAGGTTCCTTCTTGGAGGTCTTTCTACGACATGACTATGCTTTGAAATGACTGAGGTTTAAAAATACACAGTGCTACAGGCGTGGACAAATCTAGCATCTGAGCGCTAACTTACGCTAAGTCGAATAGGTGGTTCTTCAATGTGACCGAGGACACGCTGCTCAAAGAATGCAGCCATATGCGGCCCAGACCACCTCCAAATGTGTGTGTGTGTGTGTGTGTGTGTGTGAGTGTGTGATCGTGTCTCAATGAGTCTTGGGTGAATCCAGACTTGTAATTAGAGCTGTTCACATGTGTTCTAGTCAAATGACGACCAGGTTCTTAACATGTCCTTATTTTAAACACAAGATGATGACTACATTGTCAGCTGTTGGGCCCTACACATGCAATTCAAATCAACTCACTTCACTTATGAGATAATACACCAAGGATTTAAACTGCTTTTCAGGGAGTTCTGGTTACATAAGTTATAACACCAAAATAAAACAATACAAACAGAAATGTGTTATAAGTCAACTCGGCATACTGCCATCAAGTTACTTGAAAAAGCCTTAAACTACATAATATATACTACATAAAAATGGCTGCTCTTTTTTGGACGAGGACCTGCAGGAGCTGCCTTTTCATTATTTTGAAGCGAGTGGTATGTGCCACGAAGACTTGTAAACCACCGTTAGTTTGATTCCGCCCACAATACCAGCAGAAATACCAGCCACCTTCAGCTAAAGGAGTCACTCATCCACTTGAAACTGGACCTGGGTCTCCAGCTGAGGTCGCGGTAGTGAGTGAGAGGCGAGGAGAGTGCAACTGAAATCATATCCTTCCTCCGAGTCAAGAGCGTGCTTCTGAATGAGCTCTCCGCAGACAGGAGGGAAGCTCTGCCAGTGTCAGTGCCGCCTTTAAGCTGTTTATTTCCTCTAAACTTCCAGACCACTAACACCTCGTCACTGGTAAGAGTCAGAGGAGGAAGATACTTTTTTCTCCGTCACACCATGTTGGGTGGATCCTGACATTTAACTGCCACTAAAATTCAGAGTTTATCTCAAGAGGGTTTTTGGAGAATTGCTTTTAACCTTTTAATTTCAGATTTCTGCTACAGGTGGGAACACTATGGTCCGTCTGCTGCCTCTTTATGGGTAAAGATTGCTGTGCAGTGGAGTTTAAAATGTCAAACCTCATTTAGATTATGCAGAATCTGTGCTACGTCTTGGTACGGATTCATTATTATTGATGTGGTTTTGGAAGTCTCTGCTCTCGTTTCATCGTCAGGTATTCATCTCATTAAACATGCACATTTACAGCTGTGCAACTGACATTTCCTTTAAAGTGCTGATGTCAACAGGTTTTCTGAATCAACCGAGCAAGAAAACACACCCGTCTGATCCTCCTTATTAATACAGCTCCAAACAACAGTCATGACACAAATGATAACTTTTTCTGCAGAATAACTTCTTCCTTGACAGACTGGTTGAACTTGCACTCACAGTTCCTGATGCAAATATGTTTTGTTCCGCCATCTTAAAGCAGTATTTACCATGTCTACGCCAACAACTTCTGCAAGTCTTGACAGTCTAACAGTAGCTGTGCGATGACATCATAGCATGTACTCACTGAGTCTGTTTCTGGAGATAGGGGACAGAGGCAAAGTGTCGTATCGCACCGTCTGATACTGGATTATCTGCAGAGGAACAAGGAGAAGGAAACAGTCAGTCACACACACAACAGCTACAACAACACACAAAATATCAAACGTACTTCACCATGTTGAGATGCATTCATCTCGGATAGCTTTCAACTGTGTGTGTGTGTGTGTGTTTTTTACTGATTACAGACTTTTCAAAGTGTCGGACTTCAATTCCAACTTCATTTTGTGTGATATCAAACCGGGGATGGGTGTTAGAGTTTTGGAAACAGGTCTGCAGTAGCTCAATCTGGACTGGCATAACTCAAGTAAGTATTAAGGGCCAGTGATCTACTTTAAACTCTAATATATTTGTCATCAAAACTATCATTCCTAGTTTGTTGACTACAATGTTGCATGGATTAACCGAAGTGAGCTGTTATCAGGCTGTGTATGCACGAGCATAGCAGAGGATTAGCACTGGAAACACACTATGCCTACAGTGTCCTAACCAGGACTGGATTCTCTCTGGACCTTTTCTTTTGAACTTGGTCTTGACTTGGAGTTAACTTAACCAGGTCTTACACTTCATTTTGACTTTATTTAACTGGAGTGGACGACAGCTCTGTTTGGGAATCCTTTGACACAAAATTCGTAGTTTTAAGTCTTGTTTATTGCTGCAATCTTCAGTGAGATTAAAAGAGAGCATCACGATTCAAACTAAACGGAGCTATAAAAGGGTGCTGGCTTACATCACCAGAAAGGTCCTAAAAACTTCTAGTTGAACTTTTGAAACAATCCATTATTTCGTAATCAGCCCCCTTTGCTTTACATCAGCAATTAGGCAAGAGAACAGAGGAAGAACTCAGTCGTGACCACCCGATGACTCCCCCTCTTGACTTTGACTACAGAGAGGCACCTTTCCAGTGCCGCTCTTTGCCCCGGGGCTCTGCACTTTTCTTCACAGGGCTATTTTTATCCCCCCAGCTGTCGGTTGGTGTCAGCAGAGCGTGGGGCACACTGAGAAAAGGAGACTCGCAGGGTGACTTTGACCGAGCCTCTGTCCCTATGCTTGAGGACAGGGCCTCCCTCGGTGTCCCCTCCCACTGCTGCCTGGCAGAGTCCGCTCGGGGAAAGCCTATTGGTGCTCAGCAGCTGGGGGGGAACCTCACCCCCGACTCTATGCACCTACAAGAGTCTCCATCTGGACCCCAGGCCCGCAAACTCAGACTCTTTCCTCCAGACTAGGGCTGCCTACAACTGACATTTCAAATAATCCTGCTCTCCAAACCCCAACATGATTTCTTTACCGTTGATTATTGTGATTCATGATTTGGCTTCAGGGCTTGACTTCATGGATTCAAACTTCTTCCAGCTTCCCAGATATTAAATATGCTACAACAACTGGGAATCTGAAAACCAAACAAGTTGACGTAGTCTTGTTTACAACTTTAAACAAATGATTATCAGAATTGTTGCAGTCTCATTTCCTGATCAACTAAACCATTTAAATTCTACTATAACCCCTAAAGTAGGACTAATGTGTTGTTAGCCAAGATTTTCCAGCACTAATTCCACACCTGATTCAACACTGTTACAGTCTGATAATAAACCGAACCATTACGCAAGATTAATAATCAACCATATTGTCATCTGTTGACCCGAAGTGGCATCCATGGGATTATCACCTGCCAACATTGATAATCCAATAGAGCCTATATCCATCCAAATGTTTGGATCAGGTTACTCCATGGATTGCGGCCTTCTCAAACTGGAACACTGCGAGCCCTGCCTTACTTACAGGCATCGGTAGAAGAAGTAAACAAGGAGATTGTTAGATCTAGAAACTGGGTTATAATAGTTCCTAGAAACTGGAGCGCTCTACTCGTGCATCCATCCCTTGTTTGAGGTTTCAAACCTTCATTATGTTCCTTGCTACTTTGGTGGCCACTGGATCATGACTATGTTCCATCACATATTGTAAACAACAGCGCTTAACTATGAGTGAGACAGAGAAACAGAAAGGGAACAGTACGCTCTCTGTGCGGAGATAATCCCCCTCACTTCAGCCATAACATGGACTGGTCTACTCACTCTCAGGGCCTGATAAACGCACAATAAACTGAAGACAAAGCTCAAACAGCAAGACGATTACAACACACAGGGACACTCCTGCAAGCTGTGTCGGCTTGATATGGCGCTAGAGTCGAAGTCCGCTCATATTACAGCACATATGCATGTCTATTAAAGACTCAACAACACCTGTGTGAGTGTCTTAGTTACATGCGGCCAGCTTCTGTCACCTTAAATGCCATGTTTATTGTAGATGCATTTGTTAGCAATTGAAGGTGACCTGCGGGTTTGTACTTGCTGCTCCTCAAATGGTATGGTTAAGCGATTCCAATTTGAACTGAAAAATGATTAGGGTATTGATTCATTATAAGTATATTTGTTGACCAACAACAGCAAACAATGTCTGGTTTAGCTTTTCCAATGTGATTATCAGTGTTTCTACATAGTATATCATTCTAATTGATTATCTTTTTAAACATTTGATTTGTGTACTGTCTGTGACAGAATAGTGCAATCAGCTAATTGTAAAAATAACCTTTAGATGTATTTATAGTGGACGTTTTTTTTTGGTTGCAGCTGTGCATTTTGGTGCAGTTATTGTGAACTAAGTTGTACATTAAATGTGTTGAGACTAATCAATATCATACAAGTTTGTCCTAGGCATCTTTCTGCTGAATTATGCAGCAACATAATTGACACTGATGGTATTGAGTGGGAGGTTGATACTACTCAGACAGTGGGGTTACCATAACTCATTTGACCAAAATCACGATGGATGAATGAAAAGAAACGGACGATTACAGCACAGGTGAGACACACAGGTCGTCTAGCTTCCTGAGAGCCAGCTGGACTATTGGAAATAGTTCTTTAGACACACGAGACCCATGGCAACGTGGCAAGACCGTGCCCACTTGTCACAGAAAATAATCAAATGCTAGATATATTTCAAACCCCTTCTCACCGTTCGTAGGTGCTTCCTGAGGATGTACATGATGAAGCCCCATATTCTCGACGTTACGCCGAGAAAAGTGCGGATGCCAAGTAAACACTGCCGGGTCTTCAGCATGTTGACGAGCACGCAAAGACCCCACAGTATCTTATATTCTCAATCGATAGCACGCTTTTCCCGAAGTTGTCGGGAGAACTACTAAGGGAACTTGCTTGCTAGTGATAGTCAAACCCCGTCTTTTAGCCACAGCCGCCAAACTAGCAATTCAAATTAACATGAGGCCAAGCAAACGTGTGAGTACCTCGCTCTGCACACTTGTGGCACAATTAGCATTAAATGGAGTGCATTCGCATCGTTACTGTGAAATACAAACGTGGACGTGGTCTAAAGAAGAGCTGCCGCACGACGACTGCTGCTTAGGTGTGGACCTTAGCACGCAACTCGTTGACAAGCTAGCTGTGGAGCTAGCTGTGTACCCACTAACGTTAGCTAGCATCCACCAAGCTACCGCTAGCTCGACAGGGTGACCACCTTGAACCTAGGACAAAAATACCCCAAAAAAGCAGTGGGGTGGCTCGTTGTCAAGCTCCGGTTCAACGCGACTTCACGGTGTGCAGCGTCCGAAAAAAGACGGCTTTAGAAAAGTTCCACAAAGTCAAACCGGTCCGGTTAAAATAGGTTTGTATTCCAGTGGAAATCCGGAATGAGACTGCGAGCCGCCATCGCCGCCTTGCCGTCACTTCCGCGAGGAATCCTGTGGTAGCGCGCAGCACGTCCACGTGGAAGGAAAATAAACAGACGTGGACGAGCAAGAGTGTGAGCCGGGTTGAAAGTCTGTGAAAAATAACCAGTTTTATCAGCAGTTTGAGTCTGTTATGTATTATTTCAGCAACCATTTAAGTGAGAGTAGTGCAGTTTAACAATATATGACATGATTTCTGGTAACATGTTTTAACAGTGGCTTGATTGGTGTCAATAAACCTCATGTCACTGTGATTGAAAGTTGTAAAACTATAAAACATGAAAATGCTCAGTAGGCGTGGGTGAACACTTTTGATAGGCACAGTATGTCATATTTGGCAGGGTCTGCTTACACAGCTGTCAGAAGACACGTGGCCTTGCTCACTAGCAGTTCATTCTACACAGATAATTACTTCAAATGTTTAGGAAACTAATAAATAATCCCCTCTGACACGAGCATGTAAATAGCAGATTTTTTGGTGGTGTATTTTCAAATTGGAAATGGTATCACTGAAAATGTATTATCATGTTATGCACATATACCTTGGCATTCATTGACTATAGTTGAGGTCCCCCATTAAGGAATCCAAATGTGTCAACATCATTTACAATGAAATGACAAGATTACAAATAACTGTTATCATTAAGAATTGATTTTGTAAATATTACTTTTAATCATGGCTGATGGTAGCTTTATCGACCCTCAGTTTATGTTATTTATAATGTAGGTTTTTAGAAGTTTTGGAAAAGATAAAATAAATATCTTGTGTTTTACAAGATAATGGCAAAACTTCGAGGAAAGTCAGAGAAATACTTTTTTTTTTGGTGAACAGAATGTATGTTTTCCTTATCTATGAAATAGTCTTGTGACCCAGCTAATATTTATTTTGTCCTGAACTCCAATGTTGGGAACAACTGCAACAGATAATTGTGTAAAGAGACAGTTAGATGATGGACTAGATGGAAATGAGATTGTACCTAACATGGACAACCTTCAATATGTAAACAAAAAAAATCAAGTGCTGTAACTGTTGGATAAAGCATAGTTTTATTCAGCAAGAAAAAAAAGTGCTTTGAAAAAAATGCGCTCAATAATATTATAAAACACTCTTGGATATAACCATTTTATAAACACAATACAGAGTTCCTGCAGCAATGTACATTATTTGATATCTTCAAAACTCCATGAGATGGCGGTAAGAGTCCTATACTGTAAACAAAAAAGTTTCTTGAATAGCAGGGATAACATGAAACATGGATCCTTTTTGCTTTAAGTGGGTTTTGTGGCCGAATTCTACACATCAAGATCATCGTCAGGATCCTCTTGGTCATAGTCATCGTTGGCATCTGGCTCATAATGAATTCGTCCTGATCCTGGGCCTGAGTGTAGCAGAGCTGTTTTCCTGTAAGATAAAAAAAAAGGGACAACATTGAAGTTATTTGTACAAATTAACAAAATATGTGGAATGTAATCATTATTTTTTGTTCTCACTTTTCTTTGCTGAACACAAAAGGAAGTGCAAGTTTCTGTTTGGCCTCACGCTCTGTATCAGATAATCGAAGGTTGAATGTCAAGTTGGCTGTTGGGTCCGTCTATAGAAAAACAGAAAGGGCAATTGTCAGTCAGCAAAATGCAAACCTCATCTGTATTCCATTGAACCACATATAGTGTGGATGGATTAAGTTGATGTTTTATTGCACCTCTTGTTCTTCAGAGTCGGTCTTTTTGGCTCCCTTGCTGGACTTGCTTTGTACTAGAACTGTAAGATCATCTTTGATTCTGAAAATCTCCTCCTATGGACAAAAAAAACCCAATTATAAACCATTACAAAAGGGAACTGAGCAATAAACTATTTTTAAAAAGGAAGGAACAAAAACAAAATTGGCATTCTTACATCTTGAATAACTTTCCCAGATTTTGAGCGCTTAGTTATTTTTGCCACAGCTTCGTCTCCCCTCATTGCAGGTTCCACAGTGATTACTGAAGTGGCCGAGTGGCATACACTTCCCACAGTCCCCCTCTGGTGCATGTCTGCATGGAGCAGACCGATAATAGACCTCACGGCTCCCCCTAATGAAAACACAGGAAAATACCCTTGGTGAAAAATGACATCTAGAGTTATGCTTTATAATATAAATCAACCAGTTTAATTTGTTTTAATTACCATGATTTCTCTAAAAAGTATCATGAAAGAAAAAAGACGAGCAGTGATTTTTACAGCCTAAATGTAAACCTTCATTCATTCAATAAAATTACTTTGACATCACACTGAGACACACAATAGGAAGATGATTTAGACCTTTTCTAAGTTGCTGAAGAGTCCTGCAGACATCGGGAGTGCTGACATGTCTCAAAATCCACGAAAGAGAGTCGATCACTAAGGTAGCCGGTTTGGAGTGAGATGTTTTGCTTGACCAGACGTGTAAGTTCCCCCAAACAGAACTGGTGAACTGTGAAAGCTGGGTGATCGGTCCAGCCCAGGGGGTCAGTGTAAGCATTGTGAAAGTGGAGTCTGAAATGACAATAAAACAGATGATTGACTATCTATTGGTGGTTTTCACGATCATTGATTAATAATTAATTCTAAAAAATGTCAGGAATCCATTTTTTATTTGCAAAAATGAAGACAGACAACAGATGATCAATCCTGCACTTTGCTTAATAATGGACTAACGGGATTAAGCTAAATCAAAGTTATTCTGTCAACAATAATATCAAATTACCTCTGTACAGGTGATCCTCTCAATCCATCCTTCAGCTCTTCCTCACTGACCTCAAAGCCAAGAACATGGACAGCTTCCTCTCTAAATTCACAACATGGCGAAGGTAAATAGGTGTAAATATATATTTGTTTGTTTTAAACAACTATATAACCTAGAAACAAGTGTTTGTACATACATAACCAACTGTCACTCACAATGCATTTCTTAATATACCTGTTCAATGCAGCATTGATGAAGCTCTGCAGTAGATGTCGCCCAGAATACGAAGCAGAATCTAAAAATGCAAGTTTAAATTACATGACTTTACTGTATGTTATGGTTTCAGTTGACATAGTTATACTACTATATATATATACTCTAAGCAAAATAGACTAAACAACATTTACCTTGGATTACGAGAAGCCCTCCAGTATCAACGCCTTGCAGTAATTCAGGCAGCATTGTACTTGGTTATATAAATTAAATGTAGAAGGTCCAGGTAGCTACAGCTAGTTAGCATGCCTCTGATTCACCACCTATTTAGACATAAATGTGTTGTTTTTTTACTCGAACGAATCTAACGCAAGAGAAACGATACTTATCGGTTGAGAGTGATGAACTCCTAACGTCGCAGAAACTCATATATCATTACAAATAAAGCTTTCTCAGCCCAAACAAAGTCCAGCATGTTTCGCTAGATAGCATGTTGGTGTACATTCTTAAAACGTCATATCCCAGGATTCCCCTTACATTATTTTAGCTCAGAAAAGGGAAATGTAGTTCACTCATTTTTTACAACCCATGCATGTTACGGGTTGAATGAACGCAACAATAACTACGTTACCCAGCATGCCGCGCGGGAAACACTGCGCTGGCAGCCTCAAGAGGTTTCTGCCGCGCACGGAGAAGGCTGTGCGGAATAAAGTCAAAACTCCAGTCGTTTTGTGTGCCTGCCTACAGCGAAGAAACGAAAAAACTTGCTCTGAGAAGTTCACACTACGGACCTGCATTGACTAATAATCGCCTGGATCGAAGGAATGTTTACGTTTTTGCAATATTTTTCCACCGATGGTTATATATATGTAGGGACGAAGAAAAGGGAGCTTTAAGTGCAGCACGTTAAGCAACAGAGGAATTAGTATTTTGTAGGGCTAATAACGTTAGTGTGGCGTCCAGTGTAAAGCACAGGCGTTTTGCTTGTGCTGTTGTTACGGATACCCGGGGGGGAATTGTTACAACTTCGACCCAGAGTGTTTTTGAGGAAGAGTGTGCTCGGTCCTCCGGCTAGCTGCTGCTGAAGTTCCCCGGCGGTAAGGTGCAGCCACGCCGGGGGAAGGCACAGCGCGACGGCCGCTACTGTCCGGCTAGCTCGCCTGCTGCTTCTGCTTCTTGGATCGGGGCCTTGTTGGTGAGGCGACAATGCTTGACATAATGTCTGAGCACCAAGGTAAGTTTCAACATTATATTCGGCACGACATTACAAACTGTTCCGAGCGATATTAATGGGTTCGCTGTTGAAATCGTTCGTGTTTTGTGGAAATTAAGATGGCTAACCCAGCGTAAGTTATGTCTACCGTTAGTACTACGTCTGGTTGCGTATGCTGTATTAATAACCACTTGCTCATGACCAACTTGTGTTTTGTCGTCAAAATGCCATGGAAGTTGTGGTCAAAGTTGATCTATTTTTAATTTACGAAGACTGTAGCTAACCTAATGTTAACGTATGTGTTGCAGTTAAGTTAGCTTGCTAGTTTGTTAACGCGCCGTTCCATGTAGCTTCATAGCTGGATAGCTAATGTTACCAGAACCAACCCACAGAAAACACCCTTTACCATGACATCTTTAACGTGAAATAGATCTATTGTTAGACAATGAAAACATTATGTTTGCATTGGTTCAAATCGATTACACCTGGCTAACACCAAGCCAGCATTGCTAATAAGCCTCCCACTTCCATTTCAAATCAGCCAACGTGATTAGCTTGCTGAACGTTAGCACAAGTTAGCTTGTATCAAAATTAACCATCAGCAATGTCGAGTTTATATTCATCTCGTAAATAAATAGGGCATTAAGGGACACGCGTTTATCAAAACCCTGTTGCAGTCATAGCTGCAAACGACATAACGTGTTGTTAGCTTCTCCTCTAAATGTCAGCTAACGTTAGCAGGTAGCATCCACACAATACCAAATCACTAGTTTAAAAGCCTGGCAGCCAACAAAATGAGCGTTGTAAGCCAACCTTCTTCAAAGGCAACAATTTGCTTAAGCGGTAATCATAAATCGATAAACAAATAATGGTAACTGACTCTGGATCATAAAGAGTTAGGATAAAGTTCAGATGGTGGTCAAGTGACACCGGTTGCAGTTGTTGGCAGACTCAGTCAAAAAGCGTTAACACTCGATGACTGTTTTGCTTATTTTCCGCTCAAACGGTTATCTTTCAACCCTGTTGGTCAATTGAACGTAACGAAACAAACACGGCTCCTAAAACAGCTCATCACTAATAACCCTGATTAAGTAATTGAGCCGTGTTAGCAAGCTAATGCTATCGTTGGTCCCCATGTGTCCATCATACCCCCAGACAACAAGGTGCTTGGTAATGCTGTGTATAAGCTGTTTCTGTACAAAAACAACAAGGGAATCAACAATGGTTCACTTTTGACTTACAGCATTGTCCTTTCTTTTCCACCAGATTCACTGTTGTCGTGCAAAACGGAAACTTTGGTGAGTACTTTGCATAGTTTCTTTAAATGCACTCGGTTATACTGTTAGTCGCTTTTTGTTTATATTGTCTTTACTTTGCTAAACAAATGCATTTCCTTTCTTTAGCCCCCCGAGAGGAAAAAGAGGACTGTTGAGGACTTCAATAAGTTTTGCAGCTTTGTCCTGGCGTATGCTGGTTACATCCCCAGTCCAAAAGAGGTAAGCTGCTTTGAATGTCACTGTTGATTATAGAAATGACTGCTACTACAGAATGTGAAAATATTCCAAAACGTTCTTTCTTGTTGTCTCGAAGGAAAGTTCCTGGTCTCCAACATCTTCCAGCTCTGCTCACAGTTCGGGGTTATCAGCAGATGGAGGTGGTGGAGGAAGCAGCTCCACCGGCAACACATGGGCAGATGGAAGCTCAGACATCCACACCATCCACACATTTGTTCGCAAAGCTCGAGCAAACAAGGGAAAAAGTATTCGCCGCATGCACTCTGACAGCACTCTGCTGGACAAGATGCGCCTTAAAGACTCTCTGTACGAGAGCCAGGCCAGTTCTAAGGCCGAGCGCAAGAAGGACAAAAAGCTGAAAAAGCTCTCGCTTGGTTCTGCCATGCCGGGGGCTGATAGCGGCAGCAGCGAAGGCGAGAAAAGGGCACGCATTAAGCGCAGCAAAAACTCTAAACAGCCGAAGCCTAAGAAGCTCAAAACTTCCGCGACTCAAAGCGAGACAGACTCTGAGGCACGGCACACGCATACGGAGGTACGACCAGCCAGGGACGAGCTGACGGAGCACGTGGGCTCCACCCTCAGCATGCAGGGCCTGGGGAAGCTGCAGCAGGAGGAGGCCCTCCAGGAAGCAGAGATGAGCTCCAGTGAGGGGGAGACCTGGATCGCTGACGAAGACATTATGGTGGAGTCAGGTATGTGAAGCAAACTATGAATTCTAAAAGGGATACTGTCCTAAATAAACACTGATAGAAGACATTTGACCAGCTATAATTTTAAGGGCTGCGTAACATTTTATTGAAATCTACAATATGGACTAGTGCAATATCCAAATCGCAGCAATCACAATATTTGTAAAAAGCTAAATATGTGTTGTAATACCTTTTTTGTGTGCCAGTTATCCCGGCTTAACAAAACACATGCGTTTGGTCCTAAAAAATCGACAGGTCCTAAAAAGATTTAGCAGTTTGTGATCAAGGAAAAATCACAAACTGCTCATTTGAATATATTTCTGAACAATAAACAGTGTTGTGATTTCAAATATGATCCAATCCCTCCAGTATTGGTAATCATATAAAACAATAGCAGTGCCACCATAATGATATCCTATACCTCTGTTCTCTTCGTCAACACAGGCGATGATTCATGGGACTTGATCACCTGTTACTGTGGGAAGCCATTCGCAGGACGGCCGATGATCGAGTGCAACCAGTGCGGCATTTGGGTGCATCTGTCGTGTGCGAAGATCAAGAAGTCCAACGTTCCGGACATCTTTTACTGCCACAAGTGCAGGGACGTGCGGCGGTCTGGAAACAAAAAGGACCCGTAGGCATGGAGAGGACGGGAGGGACGAGGAGCTACCCCACCCCCCCCTGTTTTTGCTGTCCTCTTGACTCTTGTTTTCTTCGAAGCCTACAGCCAAAACAGCCTAAATCATCACCTGGATGGCAACTGTATTGTCAGTTTGTATGATTTATTTTGACAATCACAACCATTCTTATTTATCCTTCACGGTTTCTGTTTTTTTTTTGTTTCTTACGTTTCTTTTTATTTGGCTAATGTGAAGAACTGGACGGAAGACAACAGTGACAGTGGAGAATCATTTATTTGTTACTAATTAATTGGCTTTATTGTTGCATACTGTGCTTGTGATGTGCACATAAACACTTGTTCTCATATTAACAGAAGGTGCATTTTTGACTTAAATTATTTCTTGAGGATTTAGACAAATCAGTGGAAGTGTTTCAGGTTGATAGCCATTTCCTCTCAACTTCAAATCAATGCAAAGTTTTACACATTGAGAACATTTTTAACGTAAGAGTTGGGAAACGTCAACCCTGTTATTTGTTTAGAAGTATGTCATAATGATACGGGCAGCTCATTCTATTTTTGATCGTATTTTGGCGATTTATCGAGTTTGCATTTTTGTTTCGGTTGTCAGTGATGATCACTGAACTTTAAATATAGGGATGTCACTCCTCTACAATAAGTCTAACCTTTAAATTCATAGAATCTGCAATTGCATTTCAAATTGCACATAGACAATTCTCTCAGCAGTGCACTTTTTAAAATATATTCCCAAATGTCAATCCACTGCGTGTATGGGTAGTATTTGGGATATGATAAGCTACGGCTGGTTTAAATCTGTACTTGGCATGTCGCTGTGTACATCCATTATTAAGCGCTTAATGTTTCTCCCTGTCTGGCTTGTTAATCAATGATAGCCATTTACCATGAACAACATTTACATTGAAAGCTGTTAATTTTTGATGTCTTTGTTTCATGTGTGGTTTTTAGTTTCTCATGTTTAAAGTGAAATGAGGGCGTAACGTTGCTGTACGACGAGGCGTTTGGCCGTCCTTTCACTATCAAAGTGGCTATGAGGCTCATTTATGAATTGTTGTAAAATATTGTTTTTTTGTTTCATGTGATTGTTTATTTCTTGGCTTTCTGAGAAGCGGGATTAGAGATGCGCCCCACATCAGAGAATGGACATAAGATTGTCTCACATCGAGAACAAAGCTGTAGTGTACAGAAAATAAGTTGGTGCCGCATAGGTTGCGGCGATGGTTTATGTTTGGTTTTTACCATGTGCTTTTTCTTTTGTTGGTGGGAGAGTCTTGGTAAGTCTCCAGTAGCAGTTGCACTCTCTCTACAACTTAAAATTCTGTGTACATATCCTGTTCTTTGACAACTGTACATATGTGAAAGTGAAGAGAAAATACCCAAGCAAAATCTATATTTTCTGCAGTCTGATATTGTTTTCTTTAATTGTAGCTTGAAAAATAAAAGTCTTTGGGAGCATAAAAGTGATATTTCAAATCATTTTTTATTAAAAGGACACATACAACAAAGACTTTCCTAACAGTTATTTTGTCACATTTAATTAGATCTTTGCACACAGCAGTGTTTGTCATGTTTGTCTTCTACCACTAGAGGGAGATGGTCGACAGGCATCTCACTGGTTAGTATGGCAGTGAGTTAAATAATGCAGAATAAATATGGAATTGGAGTTGCGCTTCACTCCATGTATTTTTTCCCAGGAGATTTCAGGGATCATCCTGTAAAAGAAACACAAATGCTCAATTGTTCACCTAATTAGAATCAGCAATGCTATAAATCAGAAGCTTATCAAGCTAATGGTGTGAAAACCTTGGCTAGCCATGCCAATGTTATGTCATACTGATATGTTGTACAAACTGTGAAGTCAACTGAGACAAATGTAACATTTGTGATATTGGGCTATATAAATAAACATTGATTGATTATCCGAGACATGGAAAGGGGAAAAGACCCTGATTCTCTAATGAAAATTACAACATGTAATAACTGACCTAGATAATTAGTGCTCATTGAAACTGTATCTTGTAGCATTACTAAACAACACAGTCGTTTTCCCCCAAGTATAGCTTCTAATGTAGTTACTTTATGAACAGCTGTCCCACAGTATTTTTATTTTGTAACTCACCTTTCTGTTTCGGAAACTGGCCATTTGAAAGCTGCCGATGGAGTCCAGAGGAGCAACCTTCCTCCTGTAAATCAGAATCGGAAAACGTTATTAATCCCGAGGAAATTGGTGATATTCGTATATAAACATAAAAAGTAAAATGTCTAATAAAGGTACACAAAGAAGAAATACAATTTCAAATATTTATCTAATATCATTAATAAGAGGTTAAAGTACAAATGTATATATATAGTCAATCCTGTCCAATTCCCTTAATTTCTGTGATGCACGGTGACTAACACAATTTATTATTTTAATTCCTAATAAACATTTACTGAATGAAAATAAAATATGCAGTTGTCACTAGAAAAAATAAAGAATGACTGATTCTCTCATAAATGTATATGATGGTTGACCAAGTTATTTAAACAACTTGCAATTTTGTGTTTATTACACTTCCAACCACCAAAGCAATATAAGCGTTCATTTCATCATCTGTCACAACAAAACTACTTCTAAATCAATTCAAACTATGGTAGAAGTTGGCTCTCATCCCTCACCTCTTTTCATTGGCTTTACGCTGAAACTGTGACTGTCCCTGGCGTTGAGGAGTAAGGTTCTCTGTTGGGGCGAGGAACGTCTCTGGATGATGGTGGCGGCTCTCCACTCCCCTGTCCATCTCCACAGCAGCGTCTCCCACTGAGAGATCTCCCTGCTCTGAGCGACCATGGGGGTGAGGGAAGAGCTCTCGGTCCATCCAATCGACTTCCTGCGAGAGACAATCACATTATTACACTTTTCAGGTATTTAAGTTGTCCACAAAAGCTCGAGGATGTTGTGAAAACCTTACCCTTTTGTGTCTGAATCTGCTTGGCAATACAGAAGGAGACGCCTCGGGCATCATGTAGAGAGCCAGGAAAGACAGCACACACCTGGAGTAAAGCATCTGAACAGAGTAAAGTAGGAAGAGTCAGTAACAGAAAACACAAATGCAATTTAAAGTTAGAAGAAGCAACAAGCTCACCTTAAATCCTCTGTTTTCTCTGTGGAGTTCCGTCCTGAAAACTGTGACATCTTCTGAGCTGCTGTTCAGCGTGCACGGTATTTGTAGCCATGAATCTAGGGTGGGTTTTTATTATGGGACTGGCATCAGGCGCTGGCTGTTTAGGCTAAGTGAGTGTGTGTGTGACTGTTTGACTACAGACAAGCCAATTACATCTGCCGCCTTGTCGCATTGTCATCATTAGTGTTAAAGCTCTGAAGCTACTTGTAAGAGATGTTGAGTGCTGACAACATGCCTTGGCACACGCATACATACACATACGTGCACTGTCCCACGCCCTCGCCCATTTTCTCAGCAGGGGAGATGGGAGTGAGATAAGCTCATTGTTTAGGATGTTGTAGCTGGATGTGTACAGGCTTGTACCCTGAGGCTGGTTTCAGATGTTTGCTGCATTCAAAGTTTAGTTTTTTACCACATGAAATTGTCTTTGAGTTAAAGAATCAGGAAAATAAACAAAAATGACAAAAATGACTGACTCTATCTGTCATTTATATTTGGCAGATACAAAAATATTAAGTTGATCTTTTGTACTAAACTATTACTCAAACAGTAACAACATTTCCTTAAAGAAATGTTTTATTAGTCTATAAAAACATGCAAAATAATGAAAATGGTGCTATAAGTATCGAATTCAAAAGACTTAAATACACTATAAAAGCCACTAAACCGAGGAAATTAAGCAACTATTTATATTTCTACATAATAAATAGCATATATGATTAAACAAAAAGTTAATTTGCAGTCTAAATTGAAATAATAATGCTGAATATCAGTTTATCCAATACTCCTATCTGTATTAAATCAATGTGTTTGGGTTTAAAGAGAGGCACAGAGACAGAGAGATCAGAGATAGGGATCAGTGTGTGTGGTGATCCTGAAAACTTGATCACTTAGTATCGCCTGACTTAACTGGTGGATCGCCACCCAAAGCAGACCACACACACACACACACACACACACACACACACACACACACACACACACACACACACACACACACACACACACACACACACACACACACACACACACACACACACACACACACACACACACACACACATTCCATGTATACATCACTTCAGGGGACATTACATTGACTTACATGCATTTCCTGGAGACTTACCCTAACCTTAACCATAACCAACACATGCCTAACCCTAACCCTTAACCTTAACCTTAACCTTACCCTAACCCTAACCACGTCTTCACCCTAAAATGAATGATTCCCCTCATGGGGACCTCCAATTTGTCCCCATAAGGGAGGCGAGTCCCCACACGTGACTGTGTACACAGATTTAGGTCCCCACAAGTATAGTAATGCTAGACCACACACACACTCACACTCCGCCCGCCTGCAGCTGCCTCTGTCTCAGGGAAACAACACAGAGGGGAGACAGTGTACAGGGATGGGTGGAGAGATTGGCAGAGGATGGGGCGGAGGTCTGTTATGAGAATATGCACATTCAGACACGTTTTCACTTTTCCTCTTTTCCCGCCCTGTCCTAATTATTTCTATTCTGGGACACTGAGGCCCACCAAACATAGAGGCAGCGCTGATAGACCAGGCGTGTATAAATAAGCCAAAGCAAGGCTGGCAGCATGGCAGCAGGGGCAGAGGCCAGATAGGCTGCACTGATTACCTCCATTATCAGAGACAGGCCTCATTAGGAGACTGTGTGTGTGTGTGTGTGTGTGTGTGTGTGTGTGTGTGTGCGTGTGTGTGTGTGTGCGTGTGTGTGTGTGTGTGTGTGTGTGTGTGTGTGTGTGTGTGTGTGTGTGTGTGTGTGTGTGTGTGCGTGTGTGTGTGTGTGTGTGTGTGTGTGTGTGTGTGTGTGTGTGTAAAACTTCCGAAAAGGGGTTAGTTAAGGGTACAATAAGTGTCTGGTTGATACATACATTGAATTGGTAAAAGATAACTCGCTTCTAGCCAGCTTCAAATGTTGTATACACACAGGAGTACTATTCATTTTCTAACTCTTGGGAATGTCAAACTATTCCTTTGATGGCACTTGACTACACTTTCTTTATTCATTATTAAAAACACGTACTTGAATATATAAATTCAAGGATAAACATAACCATTAGTACAAATAAAAGAGTATCTAAATACAAGGGGTGCCTACAGTTGTGCACTTAAGTCTAGTTTATGTTACATTGTCCTTTTTTTAGACGAGAGGTTTAACTTTTTGAGATGATAAACTCTTCAATTATCATTATTACTTGTGTGTGTGTGTGTGTGTGTGTGTGTGTTAAATCTCATACCCCGCCCCGGTTCAGTGCCCTATAAGTACCAGGCATTGCAGTGGGTGCCAAATATAGACTTGACGAAGAAGGCTCCTTCCACAAATGCAGGCAACCTAGAAAATATAAAAGATGAACTGGTGAAAACCTCATAAAGTTTTGAAACATTTGTCAGATTAAATATGGTCAGAAGGAAAGTTAAATGCCAAATCAGTTAATTGTGTTGTTTACAGACTTACAGACACTTGCACTGAACAAAAGGGATCACATAAGGTCATTAACTTGCCACAGGTGTGTAACCAATCGCATTAACGATGTGAAACACCAACTGAAATAACATGCAGCATCATTAATGTTATTTGTTACACCTGTTCTATGCTGTTACATAAATTACCTACTTATTTACTCAAGTTATAAGTATTAAAGTGTACTGCAAAACACAAAATACTTGAAAAAAGTAAGTTCAATATTCAGTGTCATTCTGGCTTAGCCTACTTGTTTGTTCCCTATTGTTCGCTAATTTTCTTTTAGCCAAGTATTTTGGGTAATTAAGTGCTAGCCAACATTTTTTGTAATTTAATTAAGTTATAAGTAGGGCAGGTTGTAAGTTATACATTGCGTCTATTTTGCTGTTTTGGAGTCAGTAGTGAAAGAGTATTTAATTGTATTATTCAAGTAGGTCGAATTATTTAGCACACTGCTTCAGAGACACTTCAGGCCTGTTTTGTAACTGGGTAATTCTCTGAATCGGGTGCCCTTTGTGTCCCCCAAGCTTACTTCAAAGATTTTAAATGAAAGGAAACTACAACATGTATTTTTAAAGCACTGAATTACAATTAAAACTAAATATATATTTTGTTTTAGTTTTATAATAATTAGTTGTCTTTGTAGTAGACAACACACATGTTTGCCTGTCCTCACTGAGCATCATCACATATTAATTGAATATTAAACAAATAACAATTGCCAATTATACCAACATTTTGATGCTAATATAATCATAATGCGTGTGTACTTTAACTGAGAAAAGAAAAATCTGAAAAAATACATGAATTATTTCGTCCCCCAGTTTGTTTCAACCCCCTATTAAAATAATGGATCAGTCCATGTGACATCTGCATTGAGGAAGTGACATCACAGAAGTCTATTGAGGAAAAGGCGGCAAAGAAAGGCAAGTGTCTTTTCTTACCTATCTTTCATTTTTTTATTGTCAGATTGAGATTGTCAAACTCAACATTTCAACTCTGTTGTATGAATGATTTATAGTAAACAATTATTTAGGACAAATTAAACAATAGTTTAGCAAAATATTACAATTGTATGATGTCCTTAAATTCCATGTGGTGCTGTTTTAGCATGGCTACTTTTTGCCAAAAACTTCAACCCCGTCACATTTTTTCAAGGAAATTCCTAGTAATTATATATATTTTGTGCCTGAGGTGGGAACATTTGTTTTCTCAAAGTTTTAAGTAGTCCACTACCAGATGTTATGTTCAAAAATTCAAAAAATGTAGTTTCATTTTTCAAAAATGTAAAGACCCAAAAGGCACCCGATTCAGAGAATCACCCAACTATGCTAAGTTACCATTGTATGCTAACGTGAAGGTACTTCACTACATTTGAGAGGGGGGAAAGTAAAGCATAAACCATTGTTTGACACGTTTTTACTTTAGTTTTTAGCTAACATTTACCGACAGCTGAAACGTTAATGTATACACTATACACAGGTTATACGGGTATACAGGTACAGAACACAAGGCCTGCAGCTTTCAAGATATTACCCCAAACTTTCATGATAAGAGTCCAACAAGGCTTCATCTATTTTTCGGCAGAATAAGTAGGATTACCTAACTTTGTATTTATATACAATGTTTGGTTAATACTTGGAGTTGTTTCTGTATTTAATGTCGTTTTTTATTTGAGTATACTTACATGTGCCTGTCATTACTGTGGTATTGGCGCCCTCTCGTGGCTGGTGCTAACACTGACGGACCCGCCCACTTCAGTTACTGCTGCACTTAATAACATGCTTCCATTCCATGATGCAAGTCTCCGTATGCGACAGCCAATGCGATACTAGCTAATTGATAACTCTAATATTTAGAAAAGGAAGAAGTAGACCGATAACTAAATAAAGTTCGTATGCAAGGACGCATGAGCCTAAAAGTGGGAGGGGAACATACAACATATTGATAGGAGGGAGGAGTGACAGCAGCAGAGCGGCGACGAGGAACAGGTTAGGGAGAAGCCGAGAGAAAAAAGGCTCCTTGGCTCCTTTATTGGACATTTCCCCCCCACACCTTGGATTTATTGGTTTTCGTTGTTATTTGTCTAATTGGGACTGATAAGTAACCCGCTGCAAGAGAGGTGAGATGTCTGCGTTATTTAAATGTTTTGTTCTTGTCAATACGTCAAGGATCAGAGGGGTTTATCTCGGATTAACAGACGTGTTTTGCGGAAATAGATTTAAATAGAGGGGAGGGCTATGAATGTGGGTTAAAAAGTGATCTATTCAAAGAGACTTGTTTTTAAACCTTGTCTTAACCGGAAGTTCAGGTTAATTAAGTAAATACGAATAGTAATGATAGCAAAATAAAAGTATCAACAGGAGGAACTAGTAGAAACAGTAATGACCGGACCCTTGCTTCTGCTAAAACATCCATTATTTTATAAATAAAAACCTGCTGCTTCAAGAACAAAAGAGTTGCCCTTTAGTTTCCATCACATCACATGGTGTTTCTGGCTGAAGGACAGACTGGTCTTAGGAACCATGTTGTAAGTTGGTTGTAAACATGCAACCATTATGATGTGGGAAAACACTTTCTTAAAGAATAATAGAAGTCTCTCTTAACATGATTGTGGTTAAATGTTGCTGGACTGTTTTTCATGGTCACTTTCTGTTTATGTGAAACCCCCACCCTTTCCATCCCTCCCACCCCTACCCTCCCTTTCATTCCTCCAGTTTCCCATAGAGACGGTGGGACAGGACAGGGAAGTACAACCTCCTTTACTCCGAGCCCAGGGAAGATTCATCCAACTCTTCGCCATGTCTGCTCCTGGTAAGAAGCTTGAAGTGTGGAGCAACTAAGAAGTGCTTTCAGATCTGTAGTTTGAATTTTAAGGCAGAAAATGTGAAGAACAGTTTTACATGTTAGCTTAAGTATTTCCTCTTTTTTCAACCATGTCATGATTTGCTGCTGCTCTGGAAATGATTAGGTAATGAAGTAGAAGTTTCCATTAGGCCTTCCCCTTCCCTGAGCATCATGTTGACATGAATAGGCAACCTGTTCAACCCCCAGATTCCATACTGGGGGTTTTAGGAATGTTATCTTTGCCAAATTGGTGAAATCTGAAATAAATCCCCAGAATGCTTGCAAGCAACCTGAGATGAAAAACGTGGTTTTGGCCGTTGGTACAGCATACTCCTCCCTCTGGATGGAAAAGAAAAGTTTAGGAGGTGAAAAGGGTAACATTGTGTGGGCGTGTCTGTTTGTGTTTGCTGCCGTCCTGCTAACTTAAGGTTTAACATTTGGGTTTGTTTCCTGCTAGGAAAGGAATGTTGAAAGAGGTGGGGCAACAACAAGCCTCTAAGTTCACGAAGCAGATTACTCATGTCCTCCTTTCCACTCTTTAGACACGGCTTTAATTCACATTTGTTTTGAGATTAAACATCACATAGGTTTGGTTATTAAACGGAATGCTAACCTATGACCATGATATTAATCCCACCATGAAAAGGACTTTTAAGACTGTTTTTGATGGTCTGTTCTGCTATGACAACAACAACCAGTTTGGTCAGCTATGACACTGACTCCAGTGCATGGCACAAAGATAATACTTAACATATGGTGTCACTATGACTAGTCACACATAGGAGTGACTTGGATTGGGGCGATTTAAAGAGTCCCTATTATGCTCCAGTGTGCGAAAAAGTACACGTCCCACCGTCCGGGACGTGTTATTTACAATATCGACAAGTGACGTTTTTCGCCCTGATTTATTGACAAATTATTGATACATTCAGTTTACAAAAGGCAGAACTCGTTCGCAAATTGTACGTGTCCGCCATTGTTCGTTTATAAATGTTAGTTTCGGTTCTGTTTGTCGATTCCTAAGGAAATGCATCTCGCCGCTTTCTGTACAGTTAGACCGGGGCGGGGCGGGAAGTGTAGCACAGTGGCCGGGTTGGGAAGCAAAACTCGGTTCCGAGTAAGAACAAATAACAATTGTCCGGTCCCCGGATTGATAAGAGTTGTGAGGACAGGAAGCGAGGCCGAGCCCCGCGGACTGCAGCTCTCGCTGCACGGTGCAGCTCAGCGTCTCTCTCTCTCTCTCTCTCTCTCTTTCTCTCTCTCTCTCTCTCTCTCTCTCTCTCTCTCTCTCTCTCTCTCTCTCTCTCTCTCTCTCTCTTTCTACACACAGCGGATCCGCTGCCCGTTTAACAGCCTCATCTTTGTCAAACTTTCTTATGTTCTTTCTCTAACACGTTATTAAGCGTTTTAACTCCATATTGTTAATATTGACCGCCATTTCCTTTATGAAGTAAAGCAGCCTCCCTGTCTGTGTCCTCGCGCTGTCCTCACATCCCCGGACCCCCAGACTCGGAGGAGCAGGGATGTCAGTATTGTTTATGAAGCAGGGTATAGAAAGTACATTATTGAAATGAAAATACTATTTATTTACTTTTACAAACAGTGAGCAGCTGCAGCATGTGTATTGCAGGACATGTGTAAGCGTGCAAGCGTCTTTGAGTTGTAGAAAAGCGCTAGGCCTATAGGCTATAAATATAATGTATTATTATTATTAGGTTATGTCCCATGTGTTGGAGATGTGTGGTTGGACTCTGTCTCACAGGCAGGTTGCAGTGTAACATCAGGAGACTGGGCCAATTGTACATTCTCAAACTGCACCACTTAGAACTAACTAAACAATGCAGAGATTATTTTTATATAATTGTATTAAATAACCGTAAGAAATTAAACAGTATGAAGTGATTTGTAAATAGGAATACAGATTTGACTTAATGTTATAAAATAACCGGAATCGAAAAGCAGAACCGGAATCGTTAAAATCCAAACGATACCCAACCCTATGTGTGATGCACGATGACGAAGAAGAAGAAGATTCCAGTGGCCCCAATTTTTGTCCATTCTGGACAAGTAAATTGCCAAACTCACTTGTCTAGAGTCCTTGGACAAGTACTCTCTCAAAACTTTTTCTCACACTGCTCATTTTCAGGTTCATATTTGTAGTTTGTGTTTCTACTGGGACGTGTTTACATGCTTTAACGTTCAAAAAGTGTTCTATTCTTCTCATACTGCCTGTTGTGTGAAGATAAACGAAGGTAAAAGACAATACAGGACAGATACAGATAAGATAAAGGACAACAATTAGATGAGTAGACTACATATCCATGGTAAACTAAATAAGCAGAAAAGCAAGTGCACATGAAATGGTAAACCCTTACTGACTGTACTGTTTGAAAACCTCTTCAACCTGTTGGCCCCATAGCCCCCCCCCCGCTCAACAGGTTTTTACCGTTGAAACTGCCTGTTGACGTGCCCCCCTGTAAGTGCTTCCTCTCTCCTCTGTGGCTCGGGTAATAAGTAGCTTATTGGCTCTGCGGTAACAGCAGAGAGAGGAGGGCATGATCCGCAGTAAAGACGCACTCTCTCACACTTACGAGCACAACGCGCTGCTATCGGGACACACAGATCAGGATTTCCTCCGTGTATACCACCGTTGTGTTTGAATGAGCTGCGTTTTTGTCTACAGCTTTTCATTTGATTAGGTAAGAACTTGCACTTGTCTGTGACGTCTGATAACAGTTTTTAGATACTTGTGTTTTTCTGTGTAATTCTATCCTTAATGTTTGTGTTTATAATGTTGATTTTTATTTCTTTGTTTTGTTCCTAGTTTGAGTTATTTTAATCCATCTTATTATGTTTTGTTAATGTTTCAATGTTAAAATGTATCGGTTTCAGTTTGAATGTGGTTTTCTACTGTTGCAAAACCACGACTGTAGCTTCTTTAAAATATTCGTATTGCTTCTGACTGTACAGGATCATTCGTTCCATCAGTTGATGTCATGTGATGTCATGTGATGTCATGTGATGTCATGTGATGTCATGTAATGATTAACCTGATATCAAAGTATATTTTTCCCAGGATACCCAGGCCCTTACAACAACCCACCCTACCCCATGGCTCAGTACGGCGACAAATCGGTAGCCCCTTATCCCGCTCCTCATGGGGGGTACGGAGACCCCCATCAAGCCCCTCCACCAGGCTTCAACCCGGGCTACAACCAAGGCCCGCCTCCTGTCATGTATCAGCCTGTCCCTGTCCCGGAGTACGGTGCCCCCCCCGGAGCCATCGCCCCCGCCATGGCAGCTGCGGCCCCTGTCGGCGTGCCCCCGGGGCTCGAATACCTCACACAGGTAGGAGGGGGAACTCACGTGGAAAAACTTGAATAGCCACTGCATTTCACCACACCTTAACATCTGGAATTTGTACTCTGGAAGTCTCATAGTTATTCTTGATAAGACACCTGTTATGGCCTGAGGGCTCCCTATCGTTAGCAGTTGTGAACAGGTCTAGAGGGAAATCCTTTTTCAAACCTGACGTTGAAAAAGCTGCTGTAATTGGTTTATCTTCTTGTACGGCTTAGTTGATTGCACGTCTCGAGTCCTGAATTCAAATCAACAGTAAAGTTACAGTGGATGGTCATTTAGTAAATGACAGTAAAACAGGTTATTTGGCTTTAGTTTGGGCACTTAAATATCAATTATTATTCCCAATACAAATATAGTATGAACTCAGTCATCACAACCTTTCAAATGTTTAAGATTATTGTCTCACAAAACTGTAACTGTAAGTTTCCTTATTTGTACATTCTAACCGACTATTAGTGCTCTCAGACAAAAAAGGAACATCATCTGTAAATACTAGGTGCGAAGTAAAACCTTCTTTGCAGCGATGTTGAGCCGATGAGGGAAACTGGATTCGCCTTAGTCAATACACTGATATTTATTGAGAGACAAACGGCCGGAGGATTAACAAAGCAACTCGCACTGTTCAATGCAAGCTGCCAAAATGAACTCGAAACACAAAAGACAGAAACATCTCTATATATCTTTTAAAGGAGGGGTCTAAACAGCCCGCCCTTTCCCCTAATCATTACCAGACACCAAGGACAAAGACTGCATATATTGCCCCTCCTTAAGTGCCCCAAACCCCTCACCCACGCGATAAGTCAAAGGACCCCTTGATCTGTCCTCCTGAGTATTACGCGCAGGATCACATTCCAGTGAGCAGGAAAACACTTTAACCAGAAACAGATTCCCGAGGACAAGTCACTAAACTCTATATACTTTAACAAGACTAAAATATTCCTTACTACACTAGGGATGTTAAGATTCACCGATTCGCATCGGTGCACCGGCATAAACGTTCAAGATGCGAGTGCACCGGTTGAACATCGGCTACAGTTTGGGTTGAACTCGCGATGCATCGATTGTAGCGTCTTTGCATCGGTAAAAAACCGATTCATTCATATAATATCCTGTCAGCACTCCGCAGAGACGATCTCTGATCTTTGCTTCGCACTACGGAGGCCGAGAGTCTCAGGTATCAACACACATGGAAGTCGAGGAGAAAGAGAAACACAGCGCACCGAAAAATACCTACAAATCAAACGTTTGGCGACACTTGGGATTTTTCAAGAAAGACGGACAACTTGCAAAATCGCTCGCAAATTGTAAACGATGCCGAGCCGCTTTAAAATACACAAGTAGTACGAGGAACTTAGCGACGCACATAAAGAGGCGACATGGGGTCTGCGGCTGAAAAGAGAAACCTGAAAGTGAGACATGTGAGTGAAATCACTCAGTGAGGGGTTCTGTCAGAGAGAGGTGTTTAGTTTACAGCAGCCTGTGACGGCCAATAATAATTTAAATGTCTTCCTCACTGTGAGCAGTTAGGAAAGAGCTGTTTGTGAAAGGTTATTTTCTTTATTGTTCCCATAGAAACCACTGCTTTCTGCTCACTGGTGAGTTAGCCTCTGAATGAGTGTTCAGCACATCAGTCAGCAGCTGTATGGGCATTGCTCTATGCTAGCTGTTATTTGCACATTGTTAACCATGAGCAATGCATCCTTACATTGTTTAACTGTGAGGTGTTACACAATTATACTGTACTTTTTTAAGGTAAAAAAGAAACAGCATGATGGGATGCGCTAGCAGAGAGAACCCAATATGTAAAGCACTTTTTTGTTAATGTATGATTTGCTGCATATAAGGAATAAAACAAAAATCCTCTGTCGTACCAAATTGAAGTATCATTATTTTGTGTTGAATCGCATCGTATCGCCCCGTATCGCATAATGTTGTACATGACTAAGCTGAAACTAGCATTGAGTCTGTGGCTGATGCTAATTCATGAAAGAAGCTGCTTTGCATTGCAAATAAGTTATTATATAATCGCAATGTCCTCTTTGTTTTAAGAGGAACAAGACTTTAGATGAACATATCTTGTATTTTGTTACCTGTCTGACGTCGTTTCTCTTGTGGTTTTAGATTGACCAGATCCTGATCCATCAAAAAGTGGAACTCCTAGAAGGTAAGATTAGTTTAGTTTATCCATTCATGCGGTATCTACACTCTTCACTTTGTACTGTAAGCAGCACATAACCTCAGCAGTGGTTCAGCTTTGGCAAACTTTAAACCTCTCACTATAAATCAAATGATAATGTGACACTTGTCCCTGGAGTTCCTTACTTATCTCCCCTTTGTGATTCACTGTTTCCACCCGTTTTCCGTTCTCCCGCCCAGCATTCATCGGGTTTGAGACCAACAACCAGTACGAGATAAAGAACAGTTTGGGCCAGAAGATCTACAACGCCAAAGAGAAGAACGACTGCTGCACCAGGAACTGCTGCGGCTCGCTGCGCAGCTTCGACATGAAGATAAAGGACACCATGGACCGGGAGGTGATCCGCATCATACGGCCTTTCCGCTGCGTCTCCTGCTGGTTTCCCTGCTGCCTGCAAGAGGTCAGAATCACTTTGAATAGCCTCACATTATATTGATGCACCACACCAAGACCAATATCGAATCAATAGTTCATTAGGATTACTCACTGATATCTTCGTTATCATATTTGCTCATAGTGCGCCAAGATAACGTTTCCATGAATGATGTTGTTAATACCTAACCTTATTGAAGTTCTAAAGTTTCCAATGGAAAATAACTTGATAAAGAAGTTGATTCATAATCAAGCTTTACCGGTTAGGACAAATCAAAACAAACCACGAATTTATATATTACATTTGTTTTGTTTTTGCGAACAGCCTTTTCCTTTAGAGACAGATCTTGGTATTATTATCCCAGATTTTGAGACAACTCTCGCTGATATTTCAATATCATATATATTTTACAATGTCAATGTCTTGTGCCCAGAGCATTCAAAATGCATCAGCAATTAGGCTTGTCCCCCGTTGCGCTATATTCCGTTTTAACGTCCACTATTTGAACCAATAGTCCCATTAGGAAACTGTTGATGCGGTGTGCAATGGGGTCATCGGGTAATTTCTGGCAACTTTTTACCCCAGCAAAGTTACAAAGCCTCTAATAGCATTGATTAAACACACATCTGCTCTCAGGCTCATATTCAGAGGCTTTTGTCTTGTGTTACTGTTGAGTTTCTGAGAGGCGCTTGGATGTCTTTGTGCATCAGTGTGCTCAGGCAGGGTTTTGTTAAGACTATGAAAGGCCCTTTGTCCGTCCCAACTATCTCCTAGACTCCCCCGATCCTCTGCAACGGCTCTGAGAAAGCTCTCTCAGTCTAATCTCATCTCTGCCTGGCATGTTCCCATTGGATCGAACCCAAGCTGCACAAACCGCGGTTCTGTTCAGACAGGAGCCATGTGAGATGTGTTACCTTTGTAACGCCACAATGAAGCAGTGAGAATCAATTATCAATCCTGCTGTCCCGTGTGACTTTTGTGGCACGCTAACCCCGTGATGTTGTATCTATAGCTGCCAGGAAGCATTTTCAATCCCTCTGCGATAACGTTATAATTATATGGCATGTTTGTATTTAATTATGTTTGTGACCCACAGATGGAGGTCCAGGCACCGCCGGGCACCACCATAGGCTACGTCAAACAGGACTGGCACCCCTGCCTGCCCAAGTTCTCCATCCAGGGACCTAACAAGGAGACCTTGCTGAAGCTGGACGGGCCCTGCTTCGCCTGCAACTGCTGTGGGGACGTCAACTTTGAGGTGAGGCCATGTGACCGTTTTGTTAGAAAAAGGTCAAGAACGCTCATATCTGTCCATTAGATGAAGCTACAGACACACCTTTGTACACAGCAAGGCTAGCTGTTTCCTGTTGTGATTTCAGTATGCAAAACCAAGCTAATCTCCCAGTAGCTTCACATTTATCAGAAAAAGGGATCATTTATTCGTCCCACTGCGGGGGAATTTACATTGATTCCGCTTTGGGAAAAAGGTAAAAGGGTAAACATTACACACAGCCATGGTTAAAAGCAAGAAGCAGCATTGTGAAAAGTGAACATATACAAGTGGTTAAGTAGCAGACAGTTATAAGTATGGTTAAAAAAAGGTGTATATTGCACATAGAATTGTTATCTCACCAACATGGGTGGTTTCAATATCTTCAAGAAAGTGAATAAGTCTAATTCCAAAACTATATATTTGAATTAACATATGGACACTTTTAAGTTTTGCACTTTTAGTAAATAACATTATAGGATCACAGTATAGTTCACTTGACAAGCCGTCCTTAAGGAGTTGTTCTCATTCCTCTGCAGCTGAAGGGTAAAGATAGTGACCAGCCGGTTGGTCGCATCAGTAAGCAGTGGAGCGGCCTTCTGAAGGAAGTCTTCACGGACACGGACAACTTTGGCATCCAGTTCCCGCTGGACATGGACGTGAAGTTGAAAGCTGTTCTCATGGGCGCCTGCTTCCTCATTGTAAGTGACTCGGTTATTTTGATTTGAATAGCAGCAATTGTTTTTTAAATATGTGTCTAAAGAAGTCATTTCCTTCTGTGTTGCCAGGATTTCATGTTCTTCGAGAAGGTCGGGGAGGCCAACCAGCGCAGCTCTGTGTTCTCATAACAGAGGAAAAAGGAAGGGGAGAGCAATTGCCAGTTACGCATTCACAGTTCATCTGCTTTAATGTAGATGTATTTCTTTTTTTAAATCATTCCCTCCATCAAACGGTGCCAATCTGGCCATCATTTTACACACACACACACACACACACACACACACACACACACACACACACACACACACACACATACATACACACATACACATACACACACACACACACACATACATACATACACACATACACACACACACACACACACACACACACTCCAGATGCCTGCCAGGGATTGTTTTTTAAATATTTCCTGACTCAATGATACTGCGCCATGTTGCTCATGTTCTTTACACTCCATACAGTGTGTAGTTTGACCATTTTGAATGAATGAACGTACCTCCAGCTGAGATATTATCTCTGCCAAAAAACAGTCAACCTAACCCCTCAAGTGCCTTCATATACAAACTAAAATAGTGGATGTCAACATGTGTTTAGATGTGCTTTATGCTACACTGGCATTAACATTTCATATGTATGCCTTATGCTTATCATTCCACTTTACTATTTTGTATGAAAACAAGCAATAGATTTATGTAAGTGCAATACCGTTGTGGTTGTATACGCTGTATTCATTGCCTTTTATATTTAGCTATGCTATCTGCTATTTTGTGTGTAATGCTAATTAGCAAATAATAGCATGGAAACGAGCTAACTAAAAAAGTGAACATGGTAAACATTATACTTGCTGTATCTGTTAGCATTGTGAGCATGTTAGCTTTAGCTCAAAGCACTGATGGGCCTTAGTCATTTTACAAGTTAACAAAAGCTTAATATAAAACGTAATCATTAGCAAGAATATATGCTCATTATTCAGCGTGTATCGGGAAGTGGGGGTTATGTTAGCAGAAGGATGGGAGCATGTTTTATTATTGACAGTATTTACCAAAGTGCTCTTTCTTTCTCTCCAAGTGAACATAATAACATTGTAGCATAGCCTACAGTGTCAATGCTCTAATGCTCCCTCTGTGGTTAGCTGGTTGCCTTGGAGACGGAAACCACAGCCAGACCTTGCCCTCCTATTCTCCAGATGTCACGGCCTTGAACTGAAATGTGTAGGTTAAGCAGGGATATCTTGAGAAAGGAGTAAACTAAAGTAAATAAAAGGCATAAACTGAGGTTAGTGAATATTATGTTGACTACACAGTGGTTGGAAAACCCTGGTCATTGGCAGGTTTAAGGAAACACGTCGGGTTTCCGTAGTTTTGCAGGTTAATGTTTTGGAAATGGCTGTTGAATGCAAAGCTCAGTATGTAATTGTTCTTGTGAGATAACGGGTGTGCCTCCAGTGAGGCTTGTTGCCACTAGTGCGCTCATGTATGTACTGTGTTTTATATACGTGTGTGATACCCTCAGCCTTTGAGCTTGCTGACCTTTGATAAGGAAAGAAAAAGGAGCCGAAGGATGTACAGTACCTTCACTGCGATTACTTCTTCTTTGTGTGATGTTTAAATTGCTTCTTCTTTGGCATCAGTTTCCTGTTTCTATCATAATTCTATACAATTTATTTTGTCCATATAATTTTTCTACAGATCAAAAGTACCCTGTCCTTTACAAATAAATTATAAGCCATTGAATCCATTGTTATGGTGTTGTGTCCTATCGCTACACTTATTGTCAGGGAATGCTCTAAAGACTAAATGTGGAACATCTGGTTTCACGTGGAAGAAATGATTCAAAGGGAAACCCCGTCTCTAATTCTCTGCAAAAACATCAGCCAAAGTCCTGCTCTGCTTTAGGTACTGGGCAACATGCACTTTGTGGTGTCCATATCAGCCTCCTTTATCTAACCTATTTTAGATGCAACAAAGGGTGACAAACCTCCTCTGGTCACATATCGAATATCATACTGCTCCACCCTCTGGGAAAATATGGAAAATACAAGAAGTGTGGACATGTCCATCCAATGCTGCTGGGAAATGACTCACATTAAAATATAATTGAGGCTTACAAACCTTTGACCTTGCATTCAGGAATATGTAAGGCTTTATATTTAATAACACAATAAAGACACTTAATCTCTCTGAAGACCAGCTGTATAAACGGCTCATACATCACAGCAGCTGAGTACAAAGACAACATAATCATTTTATTTAATAAAACAATCATTTCTAATACAATATGTACACATTCATTAAGATACAAAAAACTATGTTCACAAAATGTGCTGCTGGAGAGTTTCATTCAAATACAAAAACAGTGAGCCAATTTCTGCTTAATTTTTTCATTTGACATTGAAAGACCTTCACTTTTATATGACCTATCTGTTCCCACATCGAGGTGGTCAATGAAAGGTTTTTTTGGCAGCTTCCAGTGGCAGAATTATTGCTGAAAAAGTAAACCATCTCAGGAAAATCAAAGGTAAAATCAGCCAATAAAGAACACTTTAGACGCGCCTTTCTGCGCTTATTTGCGCTCGCTCCCTGTCCCCGGGGCCCGACCTCTCGTCCCGGGACCAACGGATCAGGTATCTGCTGGCCAGCTGCAGGTTCCACTGGTATCTGGAGAGGACCCTCAGACAGTCCTCTCTGGAGCACAGGCTCAGCGAGTACAACTGCTCCAACTGAAAGACACATCCAGGGAAAATGGATCAGGAGCGGCTATCAAAATATACCTTTTGTAGAGACATGAATCCATTGACTCTGCCTTCATTTATGGAGACAAAGAAAACAAAACGGGTATCTTTCTGCACGTTCCAGGTAGGTTTCACTTCTGCCTGGACATTACATTACATGTCACTTGTTAGACGCTTTTATCCAAAGCGACTTACATACTCAATACAGTGGACAATCCCCACAGGAGCAATTTGGGGTGAAGTGTCTCAGGGACACAATGACATGCTGACTGCAGTGGGGTTTGAACCTGTGACCCCCTGATTGGAACACAGAGGCTCTATCCACTGCGCCACACGCCTCCCCTGGACCTCACGCACCAGCAATCAATCACAAAAACTCAGCTCAGAAAATTGCACACAAATTCCCCATTGATGATAATGAGCTTAACTGAGAAACATAAACACGCAAATGAATTAGTTAGAGAACACATGTTTCCAATTGGATTTGATCCCTGCTTGGTATAGAACTGAAATGAAAGTCTTGCTAAGTCTCTGGGGTGGCTTTACATTTTTTCACTGCCTGGATTAACCTATAATGTGAACCCAACCCTTGCCACAACCCCCCTACCCATATTCCAGATAACCCCAAGGTTTCATGCAGGACTATTTAAATTGTTATTTAAATATTTAGACATATGCAAAATTATTTAAATAATAAAAAAAATCTACATTACAACACAGGACGCATGATAGAAAGGCAACTGGTGCATGTCACATGTGAAATACTGTACTTTGGTGGGGAAAACTCCCTAATAAAATGCAATGACCAAATCCAGATGATATGCAGTTTTATTTTCTAGGTCCCCCACCCAGTTGCTCATGCAGTCTTGTATTTCTATATGTGTTATTATTTCAAGTGAGTCATTTTGAATTGAGGCTTAAACATTTTCAGTTTTCCACAGCAATATATCACTAAGTTTTGCCTATGTTGTGCTATATTTCAGTGTATTTTCTGTATTTTATTGTATCTCTATTATTTTCTATGGGCCACTGATATTTCTTTTAATATTTTATATTTGTCATTCCATGTTCTGACCTTGAGTTGTTGCTCAGCTCGCAGCGCGTTCCAGTCACTACGGTGAAGGGCAACATGAACCTCTTCCAGGGTCACTCCGTGAACTGCCTCCATAACCTGGGAAGAGCAGAGCGACCATTGCTTCATTTAGAAAACTGAACACGTTTAACACAGAAAAGCAAACCGATTATCCTGTCAATCAGTGGTTTACCTGTGCGGTGAGACTTTCTCTTGTATTCTGCACATGAGGGGACTTGTCTCTCTCTCTCCCTCTGTCAGGGTAATCATCCAGCTGGGGGGTGGAGCGTGCCAACTGGCTCATCCTGACCAGGTTGGTGCCTCCGATGCCCTGTGGAGGCGGGGGTGGGGGTGGGGGTTGAGCTGGAGGCTGGGATGGAGGGACCATGTTCACCGGGGCAGGCCATGTGGTGCCCGGCACTGGGTGGATTGGGGGTTTCCTCTGAGGTTTCATGTTGGGGGGCGGGGGGCGTGGAGGCGGGTTGACGCTGGCCTCGCTGAAACGCCGGGGGTCCTGCTGCATCAACACATTGTGAGCTGGGGGCATGAGTCTGCCGTGCTGATCCACTCTGAGCGCGCCCACAGTGTGAGATCGGGGGCGGGATCCACCCATAACGGACTCTAAACTATGAGACAAACCTGAAGACGGGCAAAATGAAATTATTATTATAAAACAGTTCTAGCTGAGATTGGATGTGGGAACGGATAGAGACACTAGAGGGCAGAATGCATAAATACTTCCTGGATGGATAAGATGCTTATAGTGATAGCATAACAAACAGCTACAGCTTTCAAAAATATAAAAATAGAGTGTGTGAAGAAATAAATGGACAAAAAGCGTTATTAGCTATATGTAAAATAGTTTTAAAGGGGAAAACTTCTTAGAATAAAAATCTAATATGTTATCCTATGTAACTAAAAAAAACATTCTCCCATTCTTTGTATTTCCACGAATTAAATAAACTAATTTTGATTTTATACACAAACATTCATCCGTTTGCATCTTGCAAATTATTTATCTAATATATCATATTCCATTTACTTGTATATAGACTCTTCTTGCACTATTTCTATTTTATTTGTATCTACATTCTCTTGCACTATTTTATCTGTTTTATGTCCTATATATATATTAACGTTGCATTGTTGGAGGAGCCTGTGACTTACGTTTTTCATTGCCATATCTACACTGTAGCTAACGGGCAAATGACAATAAAAGCCTTGAATCTTCCATCTTGAATGAGCCGTCGCTTCTTGTGTAACCTTAACCCCTGAATGCTCTCAGTGTCAGCTATAACATATTTCCCCAATTCATTTCTGTAGAGCATATTGTACAGTTGATGTCATCACACATTTTAGAACATTGATGTTTGGATCATGATAAAATGTCTCTGATATTTTCGTACATATTGCAGCTTCACTCACTCCATTTTATTTGTATAGCCTACCTGCCATATTCTGCAGATTGGAGTCCTGCTTCTCCCTGCCGAGCCTCCAGTTGCCGCTGCTGCACAGGTCAGAACAGTACGCACATTAGTCAGACAGCCTCACACTAACTTTATTATTGACTGACAGCAGGTCAAAGTTCAGCGCTGCACTGTTGTTAGCAATAAAACACAGTGACTAATGGGCCTGAGATGGACGTTCTATTTCTGATGCTGGTTATGTAAAGGGAACTTGGAAATCACAGCTAACAACTCTTTTTTGCAGTATTGTGTAGGGCAACCAATAACTGAGGGAAAATGAGGCTACAAAGCAATAAAAGGCACGCCCACACTAAACAGTTTACAGTATATTGTGAAAAACAGCCAGTCCAGATGAACTTTGAACCTCGGGGCCTTTTCCTCTTGTTACATGGTGTCATTTTATCAGCAAGTAATTTGACTCACTGTCTATGAAAATGAAAAAGAAGCCTATATGAGATCCTGACTACTTTATCACTTTGCTGAGTCTGTAAACTATAATTCCTGAGTCATTTTATTGCCATGTAAATTCCAGTTTATCACATACTTAATTTGATCCCTGCAGTAAACACAAAGTACTTTCAGTTTAGCGTCAATAGAGTTTGACAGCAGAAGATTTTGATCACTAAAGAACAACGATGTGAGTTTTTGTTGTTCTTCAGAGCAGATTTTGCACCATTGTGCGATCAGATGTTGTTTTAGACGAGAGTAACGAATAACTGACTTGTCCAGGTTCTCAGGTGTCCCCCTGCAGAACTCAGGTTTGATGTCTCCATGCGCGACATGCAGCAGGCTGCCTCTCAGCGGGGTTGAGATGTAAGGGGTGGAAGTAGGGTTGGATCCATTGTTGTTGGCAGCAACAGCAGCAGCAGCAGCAGCAGCAGGTGGGGCGGCAGGAAGTGACGGCACGGTGAGACTGGCAGGGAACCAGCCCACTGTCAGGGTCCTCTGGTTCTGACCCTTCCACTCACACAGCTCCAGACTGCACAGAGAGAGACAATAGTTGAACAGAAACAGCTTCATTTGTTTAAAGTGAACTTTTACTTCTACTATAACAGTGGAACAAGTAGGCATGTGCCTTAAGCTTGGAATTATAAACCATAAGATACTGGTAATACTAGATCGAGTAAGTCTGTGGCAACAAAACCCCTGAATGTAACTTCACTTTTCATTTTCTAAGAGGATAGATGTGTTATTTTTTTCTTTTTAAAGTTACAAAGTCTGGCTTTAACTGGCAGAAAACTGTCCGGTTCCTAGGAGGATGCATGTGATGTTGTGTTACCAGACTTCCTTAACTTCTCTAAGCCTTACTTTAGAAGAGTTAAAGGCTAAATAACACTTCTATTTATAAGTGTTGCAACAATTACTGTAATGAGTGGACTTCATGATTAGATACACAAAAATATATTGCATACATTGATTCATAAAATGCTTAATATAAATGGCTTGAGCTTGAATAATTCTGTA